TAAAATATTAGGTACTATAGGTTACCACACTGAAACAACAAGTCTGTTTATAAGTACTCAATAGACTACAGCTGTGTAAATGGTAACATTATGGAAAGCTTAGATAAACATTGGTAGCAGTATTGCAAATACATACCATACTAATAGAGTACTGCAGCAAGGCTCACACAGAATTTGTATAGGATACATTTAGAAGTAAAGGCCTACCCAAAGTTGTGTTTTTTTTTTTTTTTGTTTTGTTTTTTTTGGAGTGTGCATTTTTTAATGCTGTGTTGGAAAATTTTCAACTACCTTTCTGTAACTTGTGGCATCAGTAGCTCTTGTCTGTGTCCACCACTGAGTTCACACCAACCCAGTATAGTGCCAGACCTATGGACATGCTGTCTGGGGCTATAATTTGATTAATAGTCCATCTGCTATGCTTTATTCCTATGCTGTGACATATTCTAACCTGGAAGATGCAAGACCTTTTAATATATGCTTCACACTTTGAATACAAGCCCTTCCAGCCACTTATGTCACATGATTTATTTTGAAACCCAAGCATACACCTCTCATCACTAATACAGTAATGGGTCTGGCACACACAGGGGAAGATTTACTAACACTGGAGTGCAAAATCTGGTGCAGCTCTGCATAGAAACCAATCGGCTACCAGGTTTTGTTGTAGACAGTAGAAGCTGATTGGCTACCATGCACAGCTGCACCAGATTGAGTCCACCAGTTTCAGTAAATCTCCCCTAGTACATCCTAATAAGGACAGCACATCCATATTGGACAACAATCCAAAGAATCAACTGAATAATCCAAATTGATGAATGCAGAAGGGAGTCTATTTATAAAAACAAAATTGCTGTGTCAATGTGTCATTCATTTGCACAACCATCATAAATCTTTGTAAATTGTCCCTAGTATGTGTATGTATGAATGTAAGTTAGGGACTTTAGAGTGTACACCCTTTAAGGGTTAGGAACTGATGTGAATGTACAATATATATGTAAAGCGCTGTGTAAATTGACGGTTATATAAGTACCTATAATGAATAAATAAAATAAATATTTTGCCTATGGGTTAATTTTTTTAGGATCTTCAGCACCATCTAGTGCCAATAGTGCGGTATCTTCCGGACTGAGGTTTTTCAGGAAATAACAGCATTATGTCCACTAGATGGAGCCAACAGTCCTGGAAAATAAACGTATCAGATTTGTGATGGCTCTGCCAATGACCAACACATTCATACAACAAATGTTTTTTATATAGAAAGACCACCACAGCAGCCCTTGTAGTCACACAGAGGCCTGTAGGAAAAGGGGACTCCTTCATTCTTTATAGTTAAAATTACAGGGCTAGTGAAAGACTAAAGCTGAACTCCAGGAATTTGTTTACCTCTCCTAGTGCTGCTATTTATACAGTTCTGCTACACAGCACTGTCTGGTAGGGCAGGGAACCTAATATGTCTCTGCTGCAGGTAAGTAACACAAGTCTTGTCCCTTTGCTCTACATACTGGGGGAGATTTACCAAAACTGGTGCACATAGAATCTGCAGCTGTGCGTAGTAAGCAATCCGCTTCTAGGTTTTATTGTCAAAACTTAGTTGAACAAGCTGAAGATAGAAGCTGATTAGTTACTATGCACAGTTGCACCAGATCAAGTCTGCACCAGTTTTATAAAAGGATAAGTTCACCTTTCATAGCATGGATCTGACGGACCCCCCCATCCCCCGATGCCCACTGTGACATCTAGCGGGGGATCTTCTCCACCCTCGCTAGCTGTCACAATTTTAAAAAAGCTGCTATTCTATGAATGTGAAAGCTACAAGGCCCAGCATCCTTTGCAACTGACAGCTTGTAGTTTGCAATGAACTACCACAGTACTCCACAGTGCCGTGGTAGTTCATTGAGCCTTCCTATCGGTAGTATCTGCTTGTTTGTACAGGATGTACAAGCAAGCAGCTAGATATATGGGCAGGTCAGGGGGAGACCTGCATGGCACCAGCGATCTACTGATCACTGGTGCAATGCTTTAGAGCAGGGGTGTCAAACTGGTGACCCTCCAGCTGTTGCGAAACTATGAGTCCCATCATGCCTCTGCCTTTGGGAGTCATGCTTGTAACTGTAAATCTTGCAATTCCTCATGGGACTTGTAGTTTGGCAACAGCTGGGGGGGCCGCCAGTTTGACACCAGTGCTTTAGCGGTTCCATAAACAAAAAATAATAAATGTACATTTTTTTTTATACCTGCAAAACATGTGAAAAGAAAAGCAGCAGCCTGATGAGTTCATCTGACTCGCTATCCCCTTCTATCAAAGTGCGTCTTGCCAGCAAATTAATTGATTGGCTTATTCTTCATCTCCCGGTTTTGAGCTCAGCTATACCATGGATTGCTGGAGTCTGTTACCAGGTCAAATTCAGATACTTACAGATACTTACATTGTACACCTGAATTATAAACCTGGGCTGCTGCTCAGATTCCTTTATCCAAATTCGATAGACTCACAATATGGGCACTGGCTTGGGTGTTCATCCCGGCTCAATATGTTCAATGTGGAAAGCAGAGGCCCAATCTCTATACTCCAAGCAAGCCTGACAGTCCTACAGGTAAAAGCAGCCTTTGCCTAGCTCCATCTAGGCCATGCCTTCAATGTATTTCACCCCACCCTATCAGGTCAAATTCAGGTACTTACACAGCTTGCATTTTAAAATATATTTAATGAGTTAATTAATACTACTGAGCTACATTAATGTGTGACTTTTATATCTGCCTGGAGTTCAACTTTAAATAGACATGCAGTAGCTAAGCTTTAATTACACAGTTTAAATGTTCAATATAGAAAATAAAATGCCAACTCAAGAAATGGTACAATTTTTTTAGCCTTTTCAGGTCTTTTTTGGTTGTCCACCATGGTGTTCACCACATACCTTCTCGACGCAATCACAGCTTATGCGGCCTGGTTCTACAGCCAAATGCTGGTATCTTTCATTTATACATCACTGTGGACTCAAAAAAGTTGAGTTGACATGCACCTCAGTGTAAGCAGTGATCAAAAATGAGTGGTGGATGTGTCTCTTACTACAGAGTTGAATAATATGGGGATTTATTTCACAGCACTTCCAAGCAATTCCAGCTGAAAAACTGCCCTAGGCATTCGGCAAACAATTCATTACTTCTTCAATGTAAAAACACTGCATATAGCCGAGTGTTTTTTTTTGTTACACTATTTAAAATACATGTACATATTACTATCTCTTTAATGTACATGCAGCATTAAAATGATACTGCATGAATTTTAGGTCATAATTGACCATTTCAAACCATTCAAACTTTCACATGTATTTTAAATAACCGTGATATGACACATTGGGTTTGATTTACTAAAAACAGACTGTGTACTTTGAAAGTGCCGTTGCATTCTGCAAGGGAACTGGCCCCATAGCTTAGTAAATGAGGAGGAACTCTGCTGACTGCCATCATCCAATCATGTGCAATGAAAAATGCTGTTTTTTTTTATTTATTTTCCTTGCATGTGTTTGGGTATTCTTTGCAAAGTGAAGCTTCATCTCATTTACTAAGCTCTGGAGAAAACGCCCTTGCAGAGTGCAACTGCACATGCAAATTGCACAGTCTATTTCCCTCTAGTAAATCAATCCCATTGTGTTGATGTATGGGATAGAATTACTCATTCTGTTGCCTAAAAGATACAGTATATAAACTAATGAAAAAAATGTAATATGTTATAGCTTACTTGTACAGAAAAATACAAGTTGATCCTTCCAGAAATCCAGTGTCCTTGTCTCTTCCTGTGCATATCACCAGGAAAAATAAATGAAGAAAACATATTCTGCTACCACATCTAAGGACTAGTAAGCCAAAATATAATACAATTTCTCTCTGGGTTTGATGCTATACTATGTTCTTCCTCTTATGTTACAAATGTTAATTAGATCTAACCCTTCGTGACTACTCATACCTTATTGTGGCTATGACTCTTGTGCACATAAGTAGCTGAGTTTTATAAAAGTACTATTGGCATGCCCCATCTACTCCCAGCATTGCACAAAAGTAACTCCTACCTTCTGCTTGACAACTATTTCCCCCATGTGTACTCTTCCGCAGGGATCTGGTTGCCACAGCTTGTATTGAACATGTCCCATCAACAGCCTTCCCTGTGTATTTACCACATCCCCAGCCTACTACTTTGACTGATCTTCTCAACAACTGCCTTTACACTAATTCTTCTGCCCTGCCTGCTTTAACCCTGACCCCACTGGCAGCCTCCTTGTGCTTATCCACTGACAACCCCCAAGGAACTGAGTTTGGAGAATATTAGGAACTTGAATTTAAAGGAGCACCAGCACACTGAAACCTATCGATATATGGGTGAATTTTCTTCCTTTGCATAAGCCTTTGTTAGCATTCAGAACAGTTTCTGTTGCCTAAAAAGTGGGATTGTGTATGTAAAAAAAAAATAATTTTTAATGAAATCTACACTATGTATCCTTGCATAATCTAAGGGTCACATGTACTGCTCTACAGGAATAATTATGTACATTCAAACATACTGGTGTGTATTTTGGGTCAGAAAGAGCTGCAAGTCACATGAATGCCTATATTGGCCTACACCAGGTGGATCTGTCTCTTTTGTGTGATCTGATATCTGTATTCTCATGAATAAGCTCACAGCTTTTTCCATGTTGTGCAGGTAAACAGTGCCTTTAATAAGTGCACCACATTCATCAATTAAATACCAGAAGATGCAGAATAGATATACAAGTCTTTTGTGTACGTTTTCAGAGCTTGCAAGAGTCTGGAGCCATATAGCAGAAGGAATGTTACTGCCATGCTGTGTGCTTCAAAGCCACACAAATCCAATATCCATGAATAATGTACACTGCTGGCCATTGTTGTTCAGTATGTTCAGGTTTCCCAGCAGTATAGACAAAAGAGAAATGGAATAAGCTGCTCAGTCAGTTCTGGAACATTGTAGCAATCTTGTCCATGATCTAGGGTTGCTGTTGATACTGGCTCTCTGTGGCTGTGTAGAAGTCATCTAGAACACTTTGTAAGTAATCAAATGTGGGTCTTTCTTCAGCTTTTTCTTTCCAGCACTGTTTCATAATATCATATAACTCCTCAGGGCAGTTGTCCATCCGTGGCATCCGGTAACCACGCTGCAGTGCTGCCATCACTTCTGCATTGCTCATGCCTAAGAAGAGATGGAAAACATCAAACTCTCCTAAGAACTGGATCACAGCTTTATTGCACACTAGGAATTTATTGCATCCTATGAATAATGGGATATTGTTGTCTTTTTCTTTTCATCCATTTTAGGAATAATGGGATGCTGTTACCTTTTTCTTTTTATCCATCCTACAAATGTATTTATTTCAGGTACTTATATAGCACGTCCATTTACACAGCGCTTTTACACATATATATGTACATTCATATCAGTCCCTAACCCTCAAGGGGCCTACAATCTAAGGTCCCTAACTCACATTCATACATGCACATACTAGGGACAATTTAGACAGGAGCCAATTAACCTATCAGCATGTCTTTGGAATGTGGGAGGAACCCAGAGGAAACCCCCACACAGGCACAGGGAGAACATGCAAACTCCAGGCAGGTGGTGCCGTGGCTGGGATTTGAACCGATGACCCTAGTACTGCCAGGTGGAAGTGCTAACCATTTAGCCACGGGGCTGCCCAAATAATGGGATACTGTCAGCTTTTTTCATTTCATTCATCCTATAATAATGAGATATGATTGTCCTTTTTATTTTCACTCATCCTACAACTAATGGGGTATGGGCATCTTTTTATTCTAATCCATGCTACAAATAATGGGATACTGTCACCATTTTCTTTTTACTCATCCTCCAAACCTGTGAAAAGCATAAACCTTAATCATTTATTAAATACAGTATTTGCACAATGTTTCACAAACCTTGGCAATTCATGCTGAGTACAGGGGCGGACTGACCATTTGGAAACTCAGGCACTGCCCAAGGGCCCGGGGTCAGTAGGGGGCCCCATGAGATGCCCCTGGTACCTTTTTCATAGGCTTTTTTGAGTTTGGGCAAGGACACAGGGGCCCCATGATCCCCTATTGCCCGGGGGCCCCATGAGTTGTCAGTCCGCCCCTGGCTGAGTATATGCTGAGAAAATACATTTAAAATCGTAACGTTGGTGTAAAGGCTAGATGTTTTTTTTACCTTAATGCTTTCCCTGCATTAAAGGTAAAAAATGTCCCAGTAGCAGTATCACCCCCTAACCTTCTAAATACTTACCAGAGTTCTATCTCCATCTAGAGCTGTTTCCATCTGTAGCAGTTTTCTCCTTTCGCCATGCGTTCACAGAACATAGAGGAAGCAGCGGGAGCCATTGGCTCCTGCTGCTCTCAATCAAATCCAGTGACCAGAGAGCAGGGGGCAGGATTGTGCTGTGTATGTCAATGGACACTCACAGCACGGTTTGGGAGCAAACCTGCACGAGCGCTTCCATAAGAAGTTCTTCCTATGGTGTCACGTGGAAAAGAGGAGGAGCCAAAAGTGCCAGCGGGGACCCCAGAAGTGGAAGTTTGGGGGCCGCTCTGTGCAATACTTTTGCACACAGCAATCAGAGGAGGTCTGTGTGGGGGAAGACTTCCCAACCTCCCTCCTTTCCATTGACCACAATGGTGTGTAACGGGTTTGTTGGTTTTGTTGTTTATCTTCTCAGGTTGATGACGGTGTAGAAGGTCCTTTTTAGTTTACTATTAGTTTTGTAGGGATGCATCGAAGGTACTCCTGTTGGACCCAATTGGTGCGATGGGTATCTGAGATTTGTTGTCTCTGAGTAGGTGGTGTTACTACTGGAGGTCTGATTAAGTAGTACTCAGGTACTTTGTCTTATCTGGATGCCTAACAGGACCTTGTGGCTCAATTTTTCTTGCACTGTGATGTTATGTTATTGATCTGTTATTTATAATTTTGTTAATAAAAGGCTGCTATGGCCATTTAACTCCAGAATGGTGGGGTCATTTATAGTTGCTAAGATGGTGATGGTCAGAGCAGTCCAGAGCAAGCCATGTTTAGTCACCTAGTCATGGAAGCTTGTGAGGGGTAAACCTGAATTTTAATGAAAATAAAATGTACTTAGAAGTCAACCTGCTTTAATTGCTGGATCTATTTATTGTTCTGGTATGCTTTTTTTTAACTATGTAAATTATATTTTTTCATCAGTTTAAATGCCAGGTTTGAGATATTTTCTTTACACTTTCGTCCACAATTGTCTGTATTGTCCTACAATGCTTTAGTCAACATTTTGTTCCTCAACTGTCAATTTCCAGTTCAGATTTGTATCCACCTGCCTCTGCTGGCTATAACAATTCCAAATATTGTGGAAAGATGGCAATCCATGTCTAGCCAACTCATAGCAATCAGGTTCAAACTTTCATTCTCTAACATTCACTTAAAAATGACAGTTTGAATCTGATTGCTCTGAGATATGTGACAGATAAAACCCATTGTTTAGTCTGAATATTACACTTTCTAGATATTTTAAATAGTCTTTATTACTATGTAAGTACATAGATAGTCATCTTAAAGCAGAGTTCCACCCATTTTTTCATGTTTCTTGCAACACAATGCTCACCCGCAGAACAGTCTGTAATGGAAATTATTATTTTTTTTTTAAATACTTTATTTTTCTACATTTAGTCTACACTTCTGGTATCGGCTGCCTAAACGATATCGTCATTAGGTGATTCCCTAGGGCTCCTGGGATATCACCGTCATCTATCTCAGGAACCTTCAGACTGCACTTGCCTTCTTTCCGGGTTCTATGTTGATTGACAGGTTTCCATAACAACGGGGAGGAAACTTCCGCCAACACTGCTATTGTTATGGGAATCTGTAAGTAACAGTGTGCAGCACTGTGTCCTTACTGTGCAGTTTCAAAATCGGAAGGTACATGCTGGGTAGCTGGCTGCATGGAATCCCAGAAGCAAGTAGGAGTGGGTTTTGGGTGCCCACACTAGTAACGGCCGCTGCCTGTCTGCTGGGATCCTGGGATGAATATCATATTTACATACTTAGTGTGGCTGAAAAAAAACATAAGTCCATCTACTTTAAAAAAAAAAAAAAAAAAAAAAAAAAAAGAAAAAAAGAAGGTTATAATCCTATACCCACAGTTGATCCAGAGGAAGGCAAAAAAAACCCAGCAAAGCATGACCCAATTTGCTCCTGCAGGGAAAAAAATTCCTTCCTGGTCGCCCGAGGGGCAATCTGATATTCCCTGGATCAACTTTACCTATAAATGTTAGTATCCAGTAATATTCTGTGTATCTAAGAAAGAATCCAGGCCTTTTTTAAAGCAATCCACTGAGCTGGCCAGAACCAACTCTTGAGGGACTCTATTCCACATTTTCCCAGCTCTCACTGTGAAGAAACCTTTCCGTGTTTGGAGATTAAATTTATTTTCCAAACTTTTACAAGTAAGAAGAAATACACTTATAACAGTATCCTATTTATATTGTGCAACTAAAGAGAATCACAGGGGTGCCTTTTAGAGAAAACTGCCAAGGAGACTGGAGCTCTGCTTTAAGTACAAAAAAACAAATTCACTTTCCTGTAGATCTCTTGGCTATTTGTGGTATGGTGGAATGAGAAAGCACGAAGTGTATACTTTATTCCTCCTCTGCCTCTTTTTGCACTTAATGGACAGCTTCACTTTTATTGACAGGTAATGATGTTAAATTGTACGTGACTATGAGAATATTGTTATTAGACTAGCATTCTTTACAGTATGATGTAACGCAATCTCTGTTTAATTACGTACTGGGAAACAGCATGATTTTCTGTACTGGCCTCTACATAAAGCAATTTACAAAGAGGTGTTGCCAGAATAAACAGCACTTGTTGCTAGGACTGCCAGTGTTACCATTATCTGGAACCTACAGCAAGGGCAAGGAAGGAGTCTGGGCTTATGGTTGGAGCGGCATTTAAAATCTTTACCACTAAAGGAAAGGCATGCCACTGTGCCCTGGTTACGTCTTCTTGATGCAAAGATTTTTCTAAGTAACAGATGTGGGTTGTGGGAGTGCTCTTCAGAATACCTGGATAGGGGATCTTCCCATATGTGATTATTTCAGCCAGGAGAATGCCAAAGGACCAGACATCTGATTTAATTGTAAAGGATCCAAAGTTGATGGCCTCTGGAGCTGTCCATTTAATGGGGAATTTTGCACCTAAAAAAATGAAAGATGTAAAGTTACAATTCTTTTCTTATTTCACTGATCTATATTGAACATGAAAAGTTATCCTGAAGCCTGCAAGTAATGCAGAAAATATATAGTTTTGGTTACCAAGGGCATTTTGCATGGGATGCAGTGGGTTAGAACATCACTATTGATAATTAAGTAGAATATAGATGCCTTTATGAATGACAATGAGTGTGCACAAGCATCAAACGTTCTCATTAGCTGCAGAAATGTTCCAGCATGCTGGGAAATATCTAAGCTGATCCCACGATTGTTCTGCTTGCCTTTAGGAGGGACTGAGGGATTTGTTCAGTGCACATTCTTCAGAGAAAGGCACCTACAATGCATGGTAATGTACTGCAACATGTTGACACCTGTAGATCTTTCCTCCAAGCCAAGAGAACTGAATGTCTATGGGGCAGGATAAATTTAGACAAAGATTACTTTTACATACATATCAAAAGACAGAAACTATACCTTCTTGTGCTGTGTATTCATCATCTTCAATGACTCGAGCCAGACCAAAGTCAGCAATTTTACACATTAGAGACTCAGAGACTAGTACATTGGCCGCCCTGAGGTCCCGGTGGATGTAGTTCTTTTTTTCTATGTAAGCCATTCCTTCTGCAATCTGTAAAAGATTAATCAAGTTTGAACTGAATACTGAGACTGAGCTTAAACTCCAATGTAGCAGGTCAATCCATCCTGCACTCTTATCGTTAACAGATGCAGCAGAGCATTCAGCGGCAACAATGGCACTGCATCCATCAATGTAGAGACATAGCCAACACTATAGTTGAAAATATTATTATGTAAAGAATCATATGATGCAGTACAAGAAAAAGACAAAAATATCAGTGTTTATAGGGTGTGCAGGACCACCAATTTTGCCTCCAATTTTGATTAGAAAAATATTTTGTATGGGTAAGCCATAGTGATGCCTCCAACGGCCCAGTTTACCCATAGGGATAAATAGGGCTATGGTAGGCATGCGCTCTGAGGGGATGCTTCTGCAGAAAAGTCTGTTCAGCACCGCATAGGCTGCACTACAAAGAATGCTGGAGCACGGAGAAAGGTACTTGTCCAGGTGGACTGAACTCAGGGGGGTGGGGGGAATTGATTAAAGGACAATTGTACCAAAGTATAGTTGTCCTTTAAGCTGTCCCCAGTTGTGCTTTAAAGGTTTTTTTTTATAAACATTTATTTCAGGGTGCATCAGGGTTTGAAAAGCACAGATAGCTTTATAATTCTAAACCCAGCACTGTCTTAAAGATTTTTTGGCAACCTCTAAAAAATGAAACTGTCTAGGAGAGAGAGGGGTATCACTTCCCTATGTGTCATTGAAGTCTTCTGTATGTTTAGCAAAACAGATACTGGAAGTGTCTGCAGAAAGCACAGAGTTCACTATCCTCTGGCTGCAGGTGATAACTGTGTAACAATTCCAATGGAATATTTTATATTTGTTTGATATTTTTTACATTTAGCAATGAGCATAATTAAATAAACTACTCAAAGCTGAACTTCAACAAATGCTAGAAGCGTGTGTATTATTTTTTTTAAATCTTGGTCTCTCTGTGTACTTCTTTCAGATCTGTGCTGTATAGTAATTTAGCATGAAACAACTCCTACACTTTGTATCTATGCAGGTTCTTCCTGCAATGCAGACCAATCATTGCTGCCTTCTCACCTTTTACACGGTGAATGGTCTTGTATCCTCCTCCCCATGGTGTTTTCTGCAGACATCCTGTACTGGCAGGACCTTCTGCTTTTTGCACAGGCTATGGCATGTCAAGCACTTGGACATTAATTTATTTCATTGGCCAGAATAATAACTTATTCTGACTATTGAAATGAGTTAATGCTGAAGCACTAAATGCACCTAAGGTGTGTTTTAGACACTTTTACACAGGAATAATTTTTTTTTTCTGCCAAAACGTTGCTGGTCCTGGACTAACTTGCATTAAGTTTTTTTTTCTGCCATTAAACACCTATGTGCACATGGACAAATAGACTAATTTAAAGGAGTCTTTAGAGGCACTCCTAACAGCGGTGTCAAAAATGTTCGGTGTGCATGAAGCCTAAATAGTTTAGATCAAGCTGTTCCAAACAAATTATTCCCTTTACGAACAGATGTGCCCGCTGGGAGCACTGTATGAACTGTATTGAGCATCAGCTGTGTTCTAACAGTGGTATGAGGACTTCTCATCCTGTTCCCGGAACAAAATCAAGTTGGGCTGAGAGCTTCTCAACCATTCACAGGAAGCTTTGTATTTTATGAATTAACATTCCTCTTTGGTGGATTGGCTTTGGTGGATAGGTGGGCAGATGATGTCACAATCTCTACCTCAACCAATCAGAGGATGATGTTTATTATTCATAACAATACAAAGCTTCCTGTGAATGGCTGAGTAGTATTTAACCTGACTCAATTTTGTTCTGCCAGCTAACAGGAAGTCCTTGTACCATTGCCAGAACCCTGATGTACATACAGTTTATACAGCACACACAGCAGGCACATCTGTTAAAGAGAAGTTGATGGGTTTTTTTTTTTTACAAATCATACTTACCTAGGTGGATGCAGCATCCATCCAATGCTGCATCTGTCGTCTGCTGGATCTAAGACTGAGAACTGAGCAATCAAAGACCACTGATCAATCAGTTCTCAGCAGAGAGCTGGTGACTGTCAGTCTTGCTACTCCCCCCTCCCCCCCAAGAGCTCACTGGAGTGCTGGGCTGTAGAAGGGGAGGGAGAGGCTAGCTCAGGCTCTCAGCAGATCACCAAGAGGCTGAATCAGGTACCAATCCAGACATCTGGATCTTTTCCCAGCCTAGACCGGCTGAGTGACGTCAGCCGACAGCAGACTTTATCCCACTGTTAGCTGAAAACGGGTCACAAGATGCAGAACGAACTGCACTCCTGTGATCCACAGAAAAAGTACAGCCAAAACAAGCTTTGGCTCTACTTCTCCTTTAGTAAATTAAAATTATTTATTTAGACCAGCTTGGTCCATACAAGCTATTTAAAGTCATAATAAACCCGGAGTGCAGCTTTAACATTACAGTGCGGTATTTCCCTGTCAATATGAGAGAAAACAGAAACCTGAGCTAAAAACGACCTTCGTATGTTTGTTGTCTGTTCTGTTTGATGAGCCGGTAAAACAAGTTTATGACTAAAATCAAAGAAACTTTGCCAAAAATTCAGAGTTCACAAAACAAAGTACAACAATCTGTGCATCAGAATGAGTATATTACAGTAAAGCCCTCGGGCTCTTTTGAATTTTCTGGTTTTTTTTTCCTGAAAATATGTTTATCATAGTTACATAGTTAGTCTGGCTGAAAAAAGAAAAAAGTCAATCCAGTTCAACCATTAAAAAAAAAGTTATAATCCTATACCCTGATCTTTACAATGGTAATACAAATAAAAGCCATGTATACAAACCGCTTATCATTGTACATTAAAGATACAACATTTGTAAATATAAGAAAAAAAAACAAGGGATACAAAATAAAAGTCAAACAAAGTGTGGGGAAAGGGGGAAAGTGGGGAATGTGGAAAAGGGGAATGAGGCAAATAAGTATATAACATGCACCAACAGAAGGGCCAGGAATTCACATGCAGTTCAGTGTGGTGCGTTTTGAACCCATTCATTTTGAATGGGCTCAAATTGCACTGCTCCCCACCAAAAGTAGTGCATGCACTACTTTTGGAAACTCCCTGCAACCTGATCGCATGGTACTTCTGTACCATGTGACCCGGTGCAGGCAAATGCAATGCGTTTGGGATGTCATTAGTTTAACATTAACAACCAGTGCAGATGGCAACTGCAGTGTGTTTTGAACAGGGTACATGAAATTAAAGTTTCCGACACACTGCATTCTGGTGTGAATGGGGCCTAAAGGTAGTGTACACCTTTGTAGGAAGTTTGTGTTCATGAGTATAAATATAAAAATGAAGGTAAGCGAGAGTATCTGCTGTATGAGCCTTCCTCCCTGGCGTGCGGCTGCTTCAGTTTCTAAAGCCCCAGTGGGATAGAAGAGCACTGTTACAATCCAAATTGTGCTATAGGAGCTGTGGTACCCTCTTCATAGAGCAGAAGATGGGGAGAGAGGGGAAAAAAAAGATGAAAAAAGGGAGGGGAGGGGGAGAAGGTGTGAGATGGGGAAACAGCTCTCATTGTTTGAACACTGTTTGTGTGGAAGTAAATTAATGTTTTGACTGACATTCTGCGGTTTAGCCACAAGATGTCACTGTTTTTCTAACACAGGCTCAGACTGCATAGAAATTTGTATATTCATGAAGAGGTGGGGTTTTTCACTCAGAGTTGGAGTTTAGTGAACAGGAAGAGGAGACTGCAGCCATGTTGTGGATGATGCTGAATGAAGGGGCTGTGTGAGCTGATGAGATTGCTGCCAAGAAGCTGATGAGATTGCTGCCAGGAATGTTGATGAGATTGCTGCCAGGAAGCTGATGAGATTGCTGCTAGGAATGCTGATGAGATTGCTGCCAGGAAGGCTGATGAGAGCAGAGGAACTAAGCAACATATACGGCAAGACCGCATGCTTGTTGGAGAGACATTTGTTCTGTTCAGAGTCACCAGCGGATGAAAAGCAGACCCGGGTCGGTAAGATCGTGCACGCACCTCATTTCAGTGTTGACGACTTGAGACTGAGTCCAGGCCTATAGTTAGTTAGGGTCTCTGTTTGTGTCAGGCCACAAGTGTTGTTACTGATTATTGGAAGGACTTCACAACTTAAAGTGACATTTCACATTGGAGAGCTGATAAAATCCTACAAACTCAAGCCATACTGGCGTTTTGCTCAGAAGGAATACTCAGGCACGTGCTACAGGACCAGTTATGGGAGGGGGAATACTGTAGATTTTGTAAGATTGTAAGCTGTTGTGCTGCACCGCAGGCTAGCACATACCATGCATCCATACACTGATTCCTGCTCTTTTAGGGTAATAACAGGTAAGGTGTGGCAGCTTAGTTGTGCCGGCCAGTAGGTAAATTACTACACTTTCTACCTTCATCCATCAGAAGGCGCCATGCTGTGCAGCACAAGGGTCTCAGTCTTTGGGCTGGGTGTATGTAAATTTATTGTATGTTTCCAGCATTTGTGGTTGTGTATATTTGCCACATCTAATTAAAATTTTGTTGTGGCAAAAGCTGGTGTTGGGGTTGCTTTCCTCGTTCGTGACTTCACTGTATCCTGGGGAGCTCACCCCGGTACACGGCTTACAAAGGAAAAGAAAGAAAGGTAATCTATAAATGCAGATGGCTAAGGTTTAGATGGGGGGGTCTTTGTTGGTAAATCCCCCCTCACGCCAAGCCCCACTGCAAGTGGGTTAAGCACGTAGTGGATCAAGAGGCAATCTTAAATGCAAGTATTGGGTTTAGAGGTGCTCATAGTAAGTTCTGAGTAAGTATTTGTTGAATTCAAGTGCAGTCAGCAAGTCCATGTGGATAGGTACTTAGTCAGCCTGTCTTGATAGATATGGATCAGTTCTTCCATTGCCAAAGTCCTATCTAAATGGAGATACCATTCTGTCACAGTTGGAATTTGGGTAGATTTCCAATGCATAGGTAGGCGCATCTTGACTGCGTTGACCATGTGCATGGCTAGAGATTT